GAGAGAGAGAGAGAGAGAGAGAGAGAGAGAGAGAAAGGTAAATGTTCAAATGTTCGTATACTTTGGCCCTTGAGTATATACTGGTTTAATATTCCATGTGTTGAAACTGGGAGTGTGCATATAACACTTCTGTGCAACAACAACAAAAAAAAAAACATGCCAGGGAGTGCCAAGAAAAGCACTTATGTGATTGAGTTGCAACTGAAATGACTGTTTGGTTTTATTTTCACAGAATATTACATTTACTTGAAAGAAAAAGTAAAAAAAACTATGACTAACAAATTATACAAATAAAACCAGTCATTTCCAGAAAAACCACTCACAGGCTGTGTCGCCAATGATAATATTTGAGCTTTGAAGAGAAAAATTAGAATTTCAAAAACTTGTGTCTCATAAACTAACCAGTTTTCCAATATTTAAGGACTTTTCCAATCAGATTTATAGTGATATTAACAACTGTGATTATTATTATTGTCATTATTATTATTATTATTATTATTATTATTATTATTATTGGTCCTTTTGAGACAGGGTCTCCCAGTAGCCCCAGCTGGCCTGGAACTCACTATGTAGACCAGGCTGGCCTCGAACTCAAGAGATCTGCCTGCCTGCCTCTGCCCCCCGAATGCTGAGGCTAAAGGCACACCCGGCCTAACAAATGTGATTTTTTTTTTTTTGGTCTTTTTGAGACAGGGTCTCCCTGTAGCCCTAGCTGTCCTGGAACTCACTATGTAGACCAGGCTGGCCTTAAACTCACAGAGATCCGCCTGCCTCTGCCTCTGGAGTGCTGGGATTAAAGGCGTGCACCACCACACCTGGCAACAAATGTGATTTTTAAATAATATATAAGTGAGTCTTCTTTGGGAAGATCTGCATTACTTAGGAAAGCAATATTTTACAAATAGCCAGTATGTTAAGTTACAAAATCATGCATAGCTGGGCATGGGTGCATGCCTTTAATCCCAGCACTTGGGAGGCAGAGGCAGGCAGATCTTTGTGAGTTTGAGGCCAGCCTGGTCTACATAGTGAGTTCCAGAATAGCTGGGGCTACAGGGAGACCCTGTCTCAAAAAAGACCAAAAAAAAAAAAAAAAAAAAGAAAGAAAGAAAATCATGCATGAGTAAAATGTTCATACAGAGTACAAATATTGTGCAGAGGTTTGTACTGTAATTCTTATAATTCTAGTTAGGCAGGAGGATCACAAATCTAGACCAGCCTGAGCAACTTAGTGAGACTGTTTCAAAATAAAAAGTAAAGGGCTAGTGAGGTGGCTCAGCAGGTAAGTGTACTTGCTGCCAAGCCTGACTACTTGAACTTGAACCCTGGAATCCACATAGAAAGATAGAACTCCCCATGCACAATAGTAAGCCCACTACCCTCCCCCCACCACACACAAAATAAATATATAAATTATAAATGATATTTTTTTCAGGTGAGGAGAGGAAGTTTAATAATTTTACACTAGTGGGATTGACCCCACAAATAAAAGGAATCAAAGAACTACCATCTTCATGACTTCAGCTGTACCTGCTTACAAAAGGTCATCACAATTGGGCTTGCTGACAGTTATATTCCTTCATTAAAGGGGAGGTAAGGAGGGTCATTGGACCCTCACCTGAGTATCCAGCCATTCTTCCCAGTCAGCCATATGTAATTCTGCCCTAATTGCAAATGGTCTCCTGAATTTAAGATTTATATATAAAGGTTTATATATAAAATTAAGATTTATATA